AATTAAGCAAAGTATATATAAAGATTACAGGGTCAACCCCAGAAAAAAGTTGAAGTCAGAGGAAAATTTCCCCCTCCGAACCTTCTTGGATTGAAAAATGTTGCCCTTTAGAAAATGTATAAAAGGAACTTCATTATCACAATCAGATGTGGTTAAGGTCCGATGTTATAATACGTTTAACAGAGATAATTACTTTATATTTCTGCACATTACTAATATAATCGTCTTATAACTTCTTACATGAAAATCTACAAAAATGCATTGCTCCCAAAAAATGAACATGCATGATCTATAAATATTGTCTACTGTCTGTATCTAAAGATAGGGGCGTTAGGCTTTTTTCATTTCGTACATTCATTATTCACTAAGGACCCACTACTTTCATTTTTATTCAATTGTTCAAAATAATTTTTTTCGTTCTTTCTCTAAATTGTTATTCATTTCCTATCTATTTCGTTTATTTTCTCACACAACGAATGTTCAGTAAAATTGTATGTTCAGTAAAAAACAAAAGTTTTTTAAATTTTGTTCCAAAAAAACCGATCGTTAAATAAAAAAGAAAGAAAAATTCGTTCGTTCAGTAAAAAATACTATTTTAAATCGTTCGCTTTCGTTTTTTTATCGATCATTTTTAAAAAACGCTATTTTTTCATTTCTCTTAATGATCCAAGTTGTTCGTCCATTTTTCGTTTTTCTCTGAGCAACACCATTGATCAAGAAAATTTCCGTTCCTTCTTAAAAGTTTTGTTCGTACACAAAACCGATTCCCATCTCTAACTGTATAATGCATCTATATAGTGATGTCCATCTCTACCTGTATAATGCATCTATATAGTGATGCCCATCTCTAACTGTGTAATGCATCTATATAGTGATGCCCATCTCTAACTGTATAATGCATCTATATAATGATGCCCATCTCTACCTGTATAATTCATCTATATAGTGATGCCCATCTCTACCTATATAATGCATCTATATAGTGATGCCCATCTCTAACTGTATAATGCATCTATATAGTGATGCCCATCTCTAACTGTATAATGCATCTATATAGTGATGCCCATCTCTACCTGTATAATACATCTATATAGTGTCACACAATTTATGTGACTAAACAATCTTGATAATAAATACGCAAGTTGTATTGCGGATATGATTCTCCTGGATGCATAAACTTCAAGATTATATAGAGGTTGAAACTTAATGCAGATAGAGCTAAGCTACAAAATCTAAACGTGGATTTAAGTTGAAGGAGACTTTTGAATTTTAGAAATATTTCATCAATATCTGAGAAAACTCCAATCTGGTTCGTTAAGCTTATTTTTAGTATAGGGTGTACCAGAAACATGACAGTAGCAAGACGAAATAAAGGTCGTCTTTGATCTTTGAAATAAACCTGATTTTAGAAGTAAATTCTAGAGTTAAAAATCACAAAGAACCCAAAGTCTTGGCGCTTCTAAAATAAGGTCTGCCTATTTTGTTCTTTCAATTAGTGGTGTTAATGGTTAAGGATCCTTTTTAGAAAAAAAATTTATATAATAAAACAAGACATTCTTATAAATATATATGTTGCGTATAGCCGGCCAAACGGCTGGACCGATTGGGCTGAAATTTTTAGTGGACACTCAAGGGTGGCCGGGGGTGTTAAAGGCTAAAAAAATATAAATTTTTTTATTTTTAGATATTTTTTTTCGATTTTTTTTTCCACGGGCAACGCCGGGCCCTACAGCTAGTAAATAATAAAACTTTAAAAATTTGAAAACTGTATTATGTTAAAGTTAGCTTCTACCAAAATTTTTAACCTACAAAGAAAAATTGCAAATAGATTTTTGTTTTTGGATCGCTTTTCTGTCGTTTTTGCATATAACTTCTGCCACGGTCAAAATTTGACATTGTGAAAGAAATATAAATATTTAGACTGAACAATTAACAATACATTCACTTTTCTTAAACTATGCTAAATTTTACCCTGAAAGATAATATTAACAGAAAACGAATCACCTGAGATGGAATTTTAAGAATTTAAATCTGCCAAAACCCGGTTTAAATTAAGCGCCGGCTTAAAACTTGAGACATTTTATACAATTTAAAGTGGAACCAACCATATTTAAACCGCGGCTTAAATTTAAACCGCCGCTCAAATTCTTTAAATTCGGCCACTGGCTTGGATTGCCAGGATTAGAAACATTTTTTGGTTAATGTTTCTAGAATCATACATGCGAAAGAAAACAAACGAATAAATTAATGTCTCAAATAAATTCAAAAATTGTAAAACTAATTTAAGAAGTAAATTCTAGAATTATAATCACAAAATTTCCCTAGTCGGTGGTAGTGAGGGTAGTGGGGAATTGAAAAATAAATTATTGAATAAATGTTGAAAAAAAAGTTTCAACTTGTCGGTGGTAGTGAGGGTAGTGGGGAATTGAAAAATAAATTATTGAATAAATGTTGAAAAAAAAGTTTCAACTTGTCAAGGTTATTTAAATTTTGCAAAAAATTTTTCATATTTGAAATGGCATGGCCAAGGGCTTTTCAAAAATGTATAATTTTTCATTTTTTGGACAAATTTTTTTTTGCAAACATTTTTACTATATAACTGGATTTTGCGATAAAAAATTCAATTTTTGTAAATTGGCAACTTTTTTGCAGATTCTAAATATAGAGCACAAGAGCTTTCCAATGATGTATCATTTGTCATATTTGGACATCAAACATGGGATTTAGAGGGGGGTCAAATTGACCCCCCCCCTCAGCATATCCTGGTTTTCAAGTACCCCAGCAGAGATAGGGTTAAGAATTTCGTTCAGATTTCGACAATTTTAGTTTTGTTAAAAAATTGGAATCAAAAAGAAATTCCTCATTCCTTCTTACGATTATGTATTTATGTTCTTTTTGTAAATTATTTTTAAAAAAAGGTTCCAAAATCTATAAAATCGTTATACACAGACACTCCCAACTTTGTTTTATGCTTTTCGTTAACATTTTGTTGTAGAAATATAAACCCTCTCCGATTTTTAAGAAAATTTCCACCTGGGGGTCTCTGTGACTTCTGGTAAAGATAACGGTGTAATTTAAACAGCTTTTTCAAAATAACTAAATTTAAATATTTTTATATAAAGTTGCTTTGCACTCATATTAGTTAAACCCAACCCAGAGAATATCCTGTTCGGATATTAAACCAAATCCAAAGAATATCCTGTTCGGATATTCAACCCAACCCAGAGAATATCAGGTTCGAATATTCAACACAACCCAGAGAATATCAGGTTCGAATATTCATCCCTACACAGAGAATATCAGGTTCGGATATTCATCCCTACCCAGAGAATATCAGGTTCGGATATTCATCCCTACACAGAGAATATCAGGTTTGGATATTCAACACAACCCAGAGAATATCAGGTTCGGATATTCAACCCAACCCAGAGAATATCAGGTTCGAATATTCAACACAACCCAGAGAATATCAGGCAACCCAGAGAATATCAGGTTCGGATATTCAACACAACCCAGAGAATATCAGGTTCGGATATTCAACACAACCCCGAGAATATCAGGTTCGGATATTCAACTCAACCCAGAGAATATCAGGTTCGGATATTCAACCCAACCCAGAGAATATCAGGTTCGGATATTCAACCCAACCCAGAGAATATCAATTTCGGATATTCAACCCAACCCAAAGAATATCAGGTTCGGATATTCATCCCCTATAGTCCTTATGAAAAAAAACAAACATTTTCAATGAAATTAAAACCTACGACGAAACATTCCAAACAAAACTCATGTATATGTGATAATGAAAAAAAAACAGTTTAAAGAAATAAAACCTGTGGCTGAATTACAACAATTCTAGCCGCGGTTTTAATTTGAAACGCAGATCAAATATGTATTGTATTCAATTGTATTCAATGTTTCATGATGATTTAAGTCGGCGCTCAATTGAAACCGTTTTTTTTGACGGATTTGAGACGCGGCTTAAATTCATTAAATTTGGACTTTTGATATCTGATTCACCCAAGTTTTTAAGGGTACCATTGTTACTCAGGCATTGCCATCTTTTCATGGAGCCTCACTTGAAATTATACTTACAGTCCCTTTAATTTAAATTACTCATCTAGAATATCGACATCATACACAAATGTTTAATAACCAAGGTGAAAATTATGGATTTTAAGCCAATGAAAAATAAATTCAATTTAAAACAAATGTTCTTTGAAAAGCAGATTCAACAAATTAATTTTTGAATTAATTTTCTTTTTAATGAAATATATGAATTTTCATTAAGCTGAAATGTTTACATGTAAAACTATGTCAATTAGTAGATTTGTTTCTTTCTATGAGACTATAGAAGCAAGTCCAAAGCACTGAAAGGGACTGTAAAGAAAAATGAAAGGGGTATAGGATAAAACCTGAGAATTTCAGGTTTTGAACGATACCTATAAGACATCTATCTGATTTCTCGATACAGGAACATAAGATAGATGTCTTATATGTATCGTTCAAAACCTGAGATTCTCCGGTTTTATCCTATACCCCCTTTCATGTTTCCTTTACAGTCCCTTTAAGGGAAAGAAAACCTAGTGCAAAACAGGAAAAATATCTTTCTTAAAAAATGCTGCACGTCTTTTTGTTCCTAAATCTGGATTTTTTGTTCCAAATAAATCTAGCACGCACCCCCCTCACTTAAACCCTATATTAAAGGATTAGATAATAAATAATAACGTAATAACTGAAATGATAAATATGTTACGTAATAAGTTATGATCAATGACGCCTATTTTTGTATTTTTGTTTTTTTTTGTAAATATACATTGGAAATATATCTGAACAGCACAATTAATATGTTAGTATATCTTTGTGTATGAAAAAATCTTTATAATAAACACATCATCAGGTTGCAAAGATATAAATTAGAAAATTTTATTTTCGTGGCGGCAACAACTCAGTTCCGTTGCAAAAACACTAGGGGGAAAACATGTAAAAAACTAAATCAGTATTTTTAATTGTTTATTTTGATTTGGTTGTCAGATACTTTACATACATACACAAATATTTCTATATTTTATTTCATAACAATAATTTTTTAACTTAAATATAGAAATCCATCTATTAAGCGATCTCTTCATTAGAACCAAATGATTCAACAGATTCTAGAGTATCTCGTTTTTTCATAATTTTCCTAAAAACGAAAAATAAGTTAATTCTTAAAGAATTTCAATTTCAATTTTCAAAAATGCAATTTGATCCTTTGAGGGCACTGTAGAATCAATGAATCATATAACAGAAGTAACAACTTTTTTAAACAAAAAAAAAGACAATATTGTTACGTATTATACAGATTTCAAGGTTACCGTTATGAATGGGAAATGCCACTCTTTAAATGAGGGCCTTCAGTCCGTTCAGGTTAAAGGGAGTGTGCGCAGATTTAAAAGGATGAAATGAATAAAAATGCACCTTTGCTAAGTATTTAACTAAAAATCATATTTACTACAGTTTAATTATTATTTTATTAAATAATTATATGGAGCTCTTTTCCGGTATATTTCATTACTATTATTTATCTTTACATTTACTGAGATTTAGGTATAATAGTATACAACCTATCGAAAAACGAAATTTTTTAAATTCTTTCGCGATACCTCCGAAGTTCTGATTGACTATAATAAATGTTTTTAAACAGTAAGAAAAAATGCATTTTAAAGAATTTTTATGTGGCTCAGACAGATTTTGTTTTATGTTCATGTCATTGTAAAAGGTATATTTTATCACCCTACAACCCTTCTTTTGCTGTTGATCTTGTCAAAACCCAAACCATGCAGACTCACGAAACAAAAATACTTATGATTTATGATTGGCAGTTTATAGTTAAATACAAAGAAAATTGTGTATGGGGTTCGGAGTTTATCTATGAGGTTCATGGTAGCTGTGCCATCCAACCCTCAAATTTCTCTTGGGGACAGTGTGGCATCCCACCCCCACCTATCTCTTGGGACGATATGCCAATCCACCCTCACCTATCCTTCCGAAACAGTGTGCCATCCCAACCTCACCTATCCTTTGGGGACAGTGTGCCATCCCACCCTCACCTATCTCTTGGGGACGGATGCATCAGAACAAAGGGTATCTCTGCTGATAGGGATCCATTAATAGCGCCAAGGAGCAATTTTATCTGCAAAAAAGTAGTAATCTAAATTTTTTTCTCCCTCAAAATATCCAAATTTTGTAAAAATAATATTCTTCTAATTTACATTTACCTTTACAGAATATGAGACAATAACACCAAAAACATCTCTCCTTGATGTATCAGCTAACAAAGTAGAACTCGCTAAACATGTGTCACTTCCCTAAAAAGCTAATTTTTGTCACAATAAAACCAAACCCTCTGAAAGGTTTTAAAAGGTCTAATTGTGTTTTTAAAGAGAGTGACGGGCTAGACATGGCTGAGGTTGTAGAAAAAAATGTCAGGATTCATTGAAGACCTTTGACATGTTTTGACAGTGTTTAATTGCTCAGAAAGAGCGCAAATTCAATCTTTAAAATCCTCATTGATTGTTCATTTTGGAGGGATGATTTTGAGAATTGGCTTTTTAATTTTTCAATAACGACGATGTTTCTACACTAGATTAACTAATTGTTTATGCACATATTCTAAATAGAAATTTGTGAAGAAATCAAAGGTAGGAATTAACTATTTCTTTAATATCATTATATTGAATCTTTATTATTCTTAAAAAATATGTACGCAGATTTCTTCAAATGTCGTCTTCTCAAAAAATTGCAGGAAATCTACGAAAAACAGAACATGATAACTAAATAAAATAACTTATTTTCGATGATAAGAGTTAATTTTATTTTCTCAACCTGTTCCTGAACAACTATAGAATCGTTAGTAAACGATAAAAAACGATCTAGCTGAAGGCCCTCGTTAAGGAACGTGGAATTTGAACAATTTCAAGAAATAAGAAGAAGCACAGCCCTTAGCTATAACCTAGATTCTTCCCTGAACTTTTCTATAACTTGACCACAGAATAGATATATATATACAGACATCTAATCAGCTTTCATGGCTGGACAATAAGTAGACATATAGTCGTACCTGCACGACATGCTACATTTTTACAAAATCTCTGACCTTGACTCTGCCCTCCAGAGCTAGTCCATGTCTATTACAGGATTCAGCTGTAGGAGTTAAATATATTTTCCTGGATAATGATGATCCTGGTTGTATAGGACATCCATCCTGGGAATCCCAATTGGTTACCACAGCATGTTGGTTGCCACCTATTCAAAATCATCTAATCAAAGAGAATAGATTGATATAGAGTGGAATTAAATCAAAAAAAGTGTAAGACCGCAATTTTGTTGTACTGCTTCCATACTGCTTCCATACAAAGTATGATTGCAGTATAAAACAGTCTAATGCAAAAATAAGATTACCCATTAAATACTTTCACTTTACAAACGACGACTTTTGCGTTTTAATGTTTGATTAAATGATAATCAAATCAACTAAATCAATCAACTAAAATTGACCAATGGACTAGAGACTAGAGCAATTAAGCTGACATATAATTAATGATGATATGAATGTTAAATAAAGTGTTAAAAATGACATTTTCGACACGTACTACTAGTAATACGTTCTGACTTTCATAAAATTACTTCATAGTTGCATTTAAATTAGATTACTACGAGTTAACATGAAGCTTGATTATGTTGAGTTGATTATTAATGCTATTTGTTAAGATTTACTTTTAATATGGGAAATGCCGCAATCAGTTCTGAAACTAAAGTTAGCATTCTTGTTTGAAATCTTCAGATCATATCTCTAGATTCATATCTGCGCCTATATATTCAGTATTAACAAACATAGCTACAGATAGAAATGGACAATCTCTAATGATTATAGTTTTTGTGAACGAACAAATGTTTTGGGAACAAATGAAATTATTCTTTAACAATGGTTTTGTACAGAAAAAAATACGAACGATGGACGAACAACTTGAATCAAGAAGAGAAATAAAAAATCATTGTATTCTTAAACGAATGAAGAAAAAAAAATTATGATTTGAACTCGTTAGAACCAACTTGAAAAAAATATCCTTTTTTACTGAACGAACAAATTGTCCGAAAGGTTTTGAAAACCAATAGCTTTTTAACTAACGAACGATTTTTTAATTACATAAATCTATAACTGAATGAACGATTTTTTTGAACAAACTGTTGATAAATTTTACTGGATAAACGATTTTACTTAATGATCGTTTAATGAGAAAACAAACAAAATAGAACGAAAATAAACGTTAATTTGAGGCCAAAGAAGTAAATTTTATGAACGATTTAAAAAATAAAAACGTGTCGTTCACAATTGAGGAACGAATGAAGTGAAAAAAGAACGAGCGCGCCCATCTCTAGCTATAGATAAAAACTTGCATACCTTTAAACATGGCTATATCAACCTGCTGTAGAACAACAGCTGAAATCCTTTTAACCGTCTTGTTAGAATTATTCCTGATGTTTACATCAACCATTATTTCATCTCCGTGTGAGTAAAGATGGTTGTCTAGGCTGGCTTCTAACTCCAGGAGACCAGAGGACAAGTGTTTTCTAACCAATGTAACTGGTTTTTTAGACCTTTACACACAGATAAAGAACAAGATCGAGTGTCATGAGATAGAAGTTTATCAATGCGATTAAATCTGAACTGAGCCGGGAATACTCGTGTATTGTGGATATCAAGATTTAAGATCTGCAGATCAATTTAATCTTTATTAGCAAGAAACTTTTATCATGGGAGAAATAACTGAAAAGAAGAGATTAAGCAATGATTCTCAAATTAAAAGTGCTCACAGCTGAGTGGTTTAACAAAATTGTCATAATGGACAAGATCTGAATTTCTGGGGTTGCCTCAGCATCTATATATAAATTTGGCTTGTCTGTGTGTATGTTTGTATCCAATAAACGTCAAAACGGCTGAACCGATCGGGTCCAAATTTTTTGTGGGACATCACGTGACCACAGGGAAGGTTTATAAATGATAAAAATTAAAAAAATGTGTTTTAAAGGTTTTTCATTTTGTAAAAAAAAAAATTCTTGAAAATCCGCGAATTCTTTTTTAAAAATCCACAACATTTTTTTCTTATTTGTTTTAAAATGTAAACAAAAAGAACATGTTCACAATTTAAATAGAAGATGGGCGCAAAGCGCCCTATAAGCCTAGTTTCTGTATAAAAGGGTGAAATTCTTGATTTTCCGTACTTTTATAACAAAATTGTGTTTAAATTTTAATGAACTTACACTGTTCAAAATTTGGAAAGCAGGATGTTTTCAATCAATCTCTACAATAATACAAAGTTACCGCAGGAAAACATATAGGAATTATCAGAATTAAACAATGTTTCCCTAGAAAAACGACAAGATCTTCCACATTATTGATCAGATAAAAGTTGCAATTGTACTGTTGTGAATCGGGCACTGCCATCTCTGCATGGAGGGTCACTTATAACTAGGCTTTCATTCCCTGTAATGTGAGCAATGTAACACATAGAGGCAAGTTTGGCTGGAATTATTTTGAATTTTTAAATTCCCTTTTTAGCTTTATCTGAACCTTTGAATATTTCTGGGAGCAAACTGAATTTTCCTAACTGTCAGGTTTACAACTGAAAGCTTCTTCTGCAAGGAGTTATGTTTGACTCGAACAAAATATTCCACGCCACATGGTTCTCCTGACTCTAAACTCTCGGGAACTATGGTGACCGAGGCGGAACAGTGATCCGGAAACTCTAGATGGAACGGATAAGCATTTTTGCCAAATTTTGCAACCAGCTTCTCCTGAAGTCAAGGTTGCCAACTAAAGATATTTTCTTGGACCCCAAATTATTAGTTTCTGAATCTGGTATATGAGACACAACTGCTAACTAATCTTAAACCTGTGTAAAAATACATTTCGTATTTTCTTTAAAACATTATAATTTTAAACATTTAATACATTCTTCTGAAATGAACAGTGCATGAATGATTCTATTAAGATAATTCAAAGATAATGTTATGACCTAAAAATAGTCTACAAAAATGTCTTATTTTTGTCATCTTGTAAGCTAGCAGTAACATATTGGAAACCATGACTTTTTAAGGAAGCTTTTGTAAGCTATTTTGTAAGTCATGAACACAGTGATCTTGTCAGGCTCAAGGGCTTACTAGGGGGGGGGGGGGGGGGGCCCCCTCTTGAGGAGGGCACTCATATAAAAAATATTTTAAAACCTCACTTTTGCCTTAACAAAAAAAATTGCATTAAAAAAGCTTCAGTGTAACTGTGTAAATATATCTTTGATATCATTATTCATAATTATACGATATGTATCGTTTCTATGAAAATATTTCTTAAAAAACGTTTCCATCTCTTTTTTTACCCATTGAAGCTTACAACCACAGTATTAAGAGGAAGTGTCTGATGAGTCCACTTAAGAAAATTACATAAATAATTCATTAACACTTGTTTTATGGAAGTGTGTGTATGATAGAATAGTCTACTTAGTTAAAAAAAAGGTATCAATATTTTTTCAAAAAAGGGATTTTTAAGAGGGGCACATAAAAAAAGTGCCCCCTCCTACACAAATGCTCTCGTACGCTCCTGACCCGGCTGTATTTGTTGCATAAAACGTGCTAGATCTACTTTACTATTAGTAGCCAGACTGGACAGTTCGACTGAATGCATATACAGTATCAGCCGTATAGGCACGGATCATACAGCTTTAGAGTGGTTGGCAACCTTCCCTGAAGTAGTGACCAGTATTTTAAACTATCTCTTCGTATTGAATGCTCCGAGAGCACGAGTTCCTTTTTGAAAGTTAATCCCATCGTCTCCTTCTCCTCTACTCCATACCTAAACAATATTCTTTTTATTCAAGTTTAGATGTTTATTTTATAGAACCATGTTATTTGTTAGATATGTTAATCAACACATTTTACATGACTTTGCGGTCAGCACTGTTACCAAGTTTTTCTTTTCGTTTTACGATTTTTCCTGATAAAGTGATAAAATACATCAGAATATTTCTATATAAAGTGATATAATACCTCAGAATATTTCCTGATAAAGTGATATAATACTTCAGAATATTTCCTGATAAAGTGATATAATACTTCAGAATATTTCCTGAAAAAGTGATATAATACATAAGAATATTTCCTGATAAAGTGATAAAATACATAAGAATATTTCCTGATAAAGTGATATAATACTTCAGAATATTTCCTGATAAAGTGATATAATACTTCAGAATATTTCCTGATAAAGTGATATAATACATCAGAATATTTCCTGATAAAGTGATATAATACTTCAGAATATTTCCTGATAAAGTGATATAATACATCAGAATATTTCCTGATAAAGTGATATAATATATCAGAATATTTCCTGATAAAGTGATATAATACATCAGAATATTTCCTGATAAAGTGTTATAATACTTCAGAATATTTCCTGATAAAGTGATATAATACTTCAGAATATTTCCTGATAAAGTGATATAATACATCAGAATATTTCTATATAAAGTGATATAATACCTCAGAATATTTCTATATAAAGTGATATAATACCTCAGAATATTTCCTAATAAAATTATACGAAACTTCAGAAAGGCGTCTAATGTTAATCTGGAAGACTGTGTAGTTTTACTTTTTCCTTTTAAAAATTTTGTGTTACCAAAGAATTACAAAACGACTGAAATATGAAACTTCTGGAAAAAATTCATGGAACCTCGAATACGCAAAATTATGTTTTTAATAAAAAAATGAAAATTAATTAGATTTTTTATATCTTTAACCACAGATGTTGAAAGGTACACAATGCTAATGGTTGGTTAACTTCTACAAAATGGAGGATTTTAAGGTTTTAAAATTTTTGAAAATACAGAAGACGACATTGAAAACATTGTTACAAATTTTATTTCAGAATCCGTTGGATCCGCAACATTTTGGCTTTCATGAAAATGTTCCCTTATTGTCAACCATTTCTACACACTGAAATTAACCAAATTTGTAGTTAATTTTTAAAAGCAAATATACTAGGTGATCATATAATTAGCACGTACAGTCGTGGGCATTTATATCAGTTACAATGAAGACGACATTTATATCCAACTTCTGATTTCCAACGAGCTTTTTTCAAATTAAAAGTATAAAAGTAAACAAAGAGAAGCTTTTAGTTGACAGTTCTCTTAGTTTTCATGTGTGTGTGAATCAATGCGGTTTAAAACCTTGGTAGAAATACTATGCATAAAGGTTTACTTGAAATAACGCATAGAGTCTCTTTAAATGTAAAACTTATTTACCTAAAGGAGCAAACAAGAAGTACATCTAGGGTAGAGAATGGAGAATTTAACTCCTCGTCTAGTAAACCTATTTACCTGAAGGAGCAAACAAGGAGTACATATAGAGTGGAGAATGGAGCATTTAACTCCTCGTCTAGGAAACCTATTTACCTAAAGGAGCAAACAAGGAGTACATATAGAGTGGAGAATGGAGAATTTAACTCCTCGTCTAGTAAACCTATTTACCAAGGAGCAAACAAGGAGTACATATAGAGTGGAGAATGGAGAATTTAACTCCTCGTCTAGTAAACCTATTTACCAACAAGCAAACAAGAAGTACATCTATAGGGTAGAGAATGGAGAATTTACCTCCTCGTCTAGTAAACCTATTTACCTAAAGGAGCAAACAAGAAGTCGTCTAGGGTAGAGAACGGAGAATTTAACTCCTCGTCTAGTCAACTTATTTACCTAAAGGAGCAAACAAGAAGTAGTACATCTAGGGTGGAGAACGGAGAATTCAACTCCTCGTCTAGTAAACCTATTTACCTGAAGGAGCAAACAAGAAGTACATCTAGGGTAGAGAACAGAGAATTTAACTCCTCGTCTAGTAAACTTATTTACCTAAAGGAGCAAACAAGAAGTACATCTTGGGTGGAGAACGGAGAATTCAACTCCTCGTCTTGTAAACCTATTTACCTAAAGGAGCAAACAAAAAGTACATCTAGGGTCGAGAACGGAGAATTTAACTCCTCGTCTAGTAAACCTATTTACCTAAAGGAGCAAACAAGAAGTACATCTAGGGTGGAGAACGGAGAATTTAAATCCTCGTCTAGTAAACCTATTTACCTAAAGGAACAAACAAGAAGTACATCTAGGGTAGAGAACGGAGAATTTAACTCCTCGTCTAATAAACCTATTTACCAAGGAGCAAACAAGAAGTACATCTAGGGTGGAAAACGGAGAATTTAACTCCTCGTCTAGTAAACCTATTTACCTAAAGGAGCAAACAAGAAGTACATCTAGGGTAGAGAACGGAGAATTTAACTCCTCGTCTAGTAAACCTATTTACCTAAAGGAGCAAACAAGAAGTACATCTAGGGTAGAGAACGGAGAATTTAACTCCTCGTCTAGTAAAACCACACCATTGATGGGTTCTGTACCTAGATTAGTTAGAATTGCTAATGTCATCCTCACCAAACCGGAGAGTTTCAGCTGAAATTAAAAATGGCAATATAACTATGGTAGACGTACAGGGAAAGGGACCGTTATATTTACATAGTTTCAGATCGTCTTTACAGTCTCATCCTTTGTGGATAACCCTGTACTATAGCTACTGACATACAGTTCATGGGATTTAAAGAGTTGCGGCAAGTATCTTTGCAATCTGTGCAAACGTATGGGGGTCTATTTACTAATACTGCAGACAGAGTACAGACTAGTTTTAAAGGATTAGAACGAAGATTAGTTGCTGCTCAAGGAGTATGAAATAGAAGGGAGATATAACTGACGCGGCCTTCCCTACCAACCATACGATTATACATGCTTTGCAGACGGTACTTTATTTGAATAAGAAATATTTGTCTAAGGTACAATTACCGCGTATACAATTACCTTTTCTGAATATTTCTTATACAAATGGAGTTCCCGTCTGCAAAGCATGTATGACTATACGTATATGTATTATGTATAGTCATATGATAGGGCGGGCTGCGTCAGTTGCAACCTTCTTCTATTTCATACTCCTTGTTGCTGCTTACTTACGACTTCCATGTAATCCAATTTATCCAAAAACGGCTCGCATTAGCAATCTATATTGTAATGTATCTAGGGTTGTCTACCTCCTAGACTATCTATAAAATCTCGTTTTCCTAAAAACACTATTGTGCTTCCATCTTGTGAACATTTTTTAAACACTTTTAATATGTCCGCCATGTTCGTGGGATAATATTATAGACTAATGTGTGAAACCCTATAAGGTTTATTTTCTGGAATATAACCAACCCCTTAAACTGGTTTTCTGGAATAAAACAAACCCCTCAAACTGGTTTTCAAGAAAATTATCTGAATAAGATTCTAAGGGTGGTGGCAAATGTAAAAAAAAATAGCTTTTAAAATAGAAATTCTAGTTTCTGATCAAATATAATAAAAAAATTTAAACTATTGCAAATCCTGATAAAACTGTGAAGTGACTAAAATAGTTTAAAGCAAACTTTTCAAGATCTGTTATTGTTTACTTTCTTATATTTTATAACACTCTGTATGTTTTTTTTTCATTAGATTAACTATTTTTGAAACTATAGAAGCCATATATATTATAAACTTATTTATCATACAATTACAATTATAAAAGAGGATTATGCCAAATATGGTCCCATAAAACACTGAAGACAGAAATAAGTTTTAAAATCTCCTTATCCAGGGCTACACAGAAATACAGGGTGAGTCAAAAAAAAATGTGATTTGCGGCGCCTGGTGCAAAATTGTACCTTTTTGGTCCAAAAGAAAATCCACGAATCTTTTTTTCTCTGAAAATCAAAAGTTCAGAAAAGCAAAAATGTGCATTCATATTATTTCTCTCTAAATCTAAAATTTTATTAAGATTGAATCACGGAATCACAGAAAATTGGCAAAATTGTAATAAGAAAATTCGCAATTTTCAGTTCTGGGCTAATTTTTAAGGAAAAGTTATTTAAATTCTCTAGTTCCTTTCTTCTTAGTTTATTCTAAAGTATTAAATATACGCTGTTCAGTTGAAACCTTAAGATCCATTGAAAAACAATTTTTCCGTAAAAATTATACCAGAACTGAAAATTGCGAATTTTCTAATTACAATTTTGCAAATTTTCTGAGATTCCGTGATTCAATCTTTTTAAAATTTTAGATTTCAATAGAAACAATTTATTTACACATTTTTGTTTTTCTGAACTTTTGATTTTGAAAGAAAAAAAGGTTCGCGGATTTTTTTGGACCATTGAAGTACCAAAAAAATACAAATTTTCAAAAAATATAAAAAAAAACACTATACAGAAGAGTTGAACAAAAAAAGTTACACTTTTGCACCATGCGCCGCAAATCACACTTTTTTTTTACTCACACTGTATAAGTGCAGGTTGGTGAGGGGAAATCTCGGTCTCAATAGTTAATGCATAAATTTCATGTTTGGCTGTGTGGGTCGCTGGATATTCCTTTTTAAATGTTTGTTTGCTTAAAGTAACAATTAATAAAAATTTTAAATGTCTTACCCAAATGATATTCATAAATAATCGTTCATAATTGATAACGATCAGACATATTTAATGTTCAGAAATTATTAAGGATCCAACATTGTTAACGATAAGACATTGATAACGATCAGACATTGTTAACGATCAGACATTGTTAACGATCAGACATTTTAAACGATTAGACATATTTAACGTTCAGTAATTGTTAACAATCATACATTGTTGAGGATCATGGAAATTGTTAATGATCAGACATTGTTAATGATCAGACATTGTTAATGATCGGACATTGTTAATGATCGGACATTGTTAATGATCAAACATGGTTAACATTAAGACATTGTTAAAGGGAGTGACCGGCAATGTATGGTAGTTGAACTGAGAATGTAGAATGGTAAAGTAATTTTTTTAGGATTTAATTGAGACTTATCAGACGTTTTTACGGTGCATATTTGTTCAGCATAGAGCGCAAATTCGATCTTTAAAATCCTCATAGATTGTCCAATGTCCATTTTGGAGGGATGATTTTTAGAATCAGTTTTTTTTAATTATTCAATGACTACCACGAAAAATGTAACAAAAATTCGACAGTAAATTAATAAGTTGTTTTGGAAAAGATTTGAAAATTAAAATTAACTCTTATCATCGAAAATCACAAACCTTATTCAGTTGTTAGATTCTGTAATGTCTCATTGTTTACAAACATTTTCTGTAGATTTCCTGCAATTTTTATAGAAAAGACGACATTTGAAGAATTTGGAGAAATCTGCGAAAAAATTTGTAAAAAATAAGATATTCAATATAATGATGAAAAGGAAATAATTGATTCTAACAATTATTTATTGGACTATTGAAAATATGTTCCTAAACATCCAATTAGTTTACTTTTGAATTTTTGTTACATTTTTCGTCGTTATTATTGAATAGCTTTTAAAAAAACTATTTTCAAAATCATCTGACCAGAATTGACAATGAAGGAGAATCTAAAAAATGACACTCTCGCTGAACAAATATGCACCGTAAAAACGTTTAATAGGTCTCAAATGAATCCACAAAAATTTCTTTAAAAAACTGCATTCTCAATTTAACTTCCATACATAGTCGGTCACTCCCGTTAATGATCAGACATGGTTGATGATCAGAAATGGTTAATGATCAGACATGGTTAATGATCAGACATGGTTAATGATCAGACATGGTTAACATTCAAACATTGTGAGTGATCATACATTGTTAATGATCAGACATGGTTAATTATCAGACGTGATTAATGATTAGACATGGTTAACATTCAGACATTGTTGATGATCAGACATGGTTAATGATCAGACATGGTTAATGATTAGACATGGTTAACATTCAGACATTGTTAATGATCAGACATGGTTAATGATCAGACATGGTTAACATTCAGACATTGTTAATGATCAGACATGGTTAATGATCAGACATGGTTAATTATCAGAGATGGTTAACATTCAGACATTGTTAATGATCAGACCTGGTTAATGATTAGACATTGGTTAATGATCATACATGGTTAATGAACAAACATTGTTAACATTCAGACATGGTTAATGATCAGACATTGTTAATGATCAGACATGGTTAATGATCATACATGGTTAACGATCAGACATTGTTAACGATCAGACATTGTTAACAATCAGACATGGTTAACGATCATACACGGTTAACGATCAGAAATTATTAACGATCAGACGTGGTTAATGATCAGAAATTGTTAATGATCATACATTGTTAATGATCATACATTGTTAACGATCAGACATGGTTAACAATCATACATGTTTAACGATCAGACATTGTTAACGATCAGACATGGTTAACGATCATACACTGTTAACGATCAGAAATTGTTAACGATCAGACGTGGTTAATGATCAGAAATTGTTAATGATCATACATTGTTAATGGTCATACATTGTTAATGATCAGACCTGGTTAACGATCAGACCTGATTAACGATCGGACATTGTCAATGATCAAACATTGCCAATGATCAGGCATTGTTTAGGATCATATAAAGCTATCGTTTAGAGATTGTTAACGATTAGACATTATTAAGATCAGAAATCGCTGACAATCAGTCATCATTATCGTTGAAAGAGATCGTTCTGCGTTAATGATCAACAAATACTCGTTAAAAACGGTAAACAGTTGACAAAACGGTAAACAGTTGACAATCTTTAATTTTAATTAATATATATAAAATTGAATAAATGCACGAGAAGCTTTAACAAACCATGCATTTTTGAGTGGTTCAACTTTTTGGAATAACCTTTCTTGTGTGAAATTTTAGATTATCATTCTTTTGTAAACTAAAAGGACTTGATTACGTTTGAACAAGAAAGGTTATGAAACCGCTACCGGACCACTGTAGCGTACATATCTCCTCGAAATCAAAGTGTTTTTGCGATAGCTCGTTATCTTTCTTTATATATTTATATTTATATATATATTATATGTGTCTATCTATCTATCTTTCTATTCGTCTATATTGCGTCAGGAAAAGGAACTTTCTCTGGAACCAGGTTGAAAAAAATTACGCGTTTTCACATCAAAACTGAGATACTTTTAAAGTTTTCAATAATAGTTGATTTTTTCTCATAAATTAAATTGTGAAGTAGAAATACCCCTGGTTCTTGACCTTGAAGGGGTCCGAAGCGGGTAATATATACGCAAGTCGAGACATGGAAAATTCAGGGGGAATGAGTCTAGGTCTAGGTCTAGGTCTAGGTCTAGGCCTAGGTCTAGGTCTAGGTCTAAGTCTAAGTCTAAGTCTAGGTCTAGGTCTAGGTATAGGTCTAGGCCTAGGTCTAGGCCTAGGTCTAGGTCTAGGCCTAGGTCTAGGTCTAGGTCTAAGTCTAGGTCTAGGTCTAGGTCTAAGTCTAGGTCGGGCTAGGTCTAGGTCTAGGTCTAGGTCTAGGTCACATAAATTCTAAAATGTTTCAGCCTTAATTTTTCAAATCGTTAATTGGCAAAATCAATTTTTTGCAATTATGATAAATGAAATCGAAAATCAAAACTCATTGAGGCCGTTTATGTTTATGTTTATGTCTTATTTTTTATGGGTAACCCTGCATAATGAATGCATAGAAATTTCAAATTATTTTTTATTATTTAATTTCATGGTTGCTAAAGCTTATTGCAAAACCCTTGCAATGCAAATAATTGTGTAAATTTGCATATTTAAATCTAACTGTGCACTTTTTTAGCACTTGAGCGTAATTTCGATTTACCCTACATTAATATATTGGCATGTCCGATTCACAGCAGTCACCTTGAGTATGATCATGAATATTTTTATTGCTGAAAATTGAGTGTCAGAATGTACGACTTTGTGACCTTGCAACTCCTATAGTTTTGTTTTGCTCACATGTATATGACAAAAACATATTAAATTAGTTGTATATTTAAAGTTTAAATTAAATTAGCTGTATATTTAAAAGATTAACTTAAATTAGTTGTATAAATTTTAAAGTTTAAATTAAATTAGTTGTATATTTTGGGGACATAAACATCCCCGTTTAGAAACTTGATCTCCATGTCCATGTATTACCATTAAGAAGAAAAATGTTAAAAAAATATTGCCGCTTCGCACAAATAATCTTTCTCAATCAACTTTAACAAAGTAACATAGATAAATTTTACAAAAAAACACATTTTTCAAATGCAGTAGTTTTTGATGTAGAACCTACCAAAGAGCATTTTCATCCACTCCAATTTCATGTCCTTAATCTTCTTTATGATTAATTTATACATTGCTTATCTATCCAATAAGCGTCAAAACGGCTGAACCAATCGGGCCCAAATTTTTGTTGGACCTCACGTGACCCCAGGGAAGGTTTATGTATGATTGAATTTTTAAAAATTGGCTTTCCTATTTTTAATAATTTATAAAATCCGTGAGTTTTTGTTTTTTGTTTTACAATGTATTCAAAAGAGAAAATGTTAGCAAATGAAAATGAAATAGAAGATGGCTGATCATCGCGGATTTTATATACTGGTGGATTTGCTATTTTATAAGCTGTTGAATGAGTCTCAATTTATAATGGACAACCTTCAGGGTTTAAATCAAGTCATGTGAAAGCTGAAAGGTGGTAAAGGAAGCCTTTTATTTGATAGAGTTTGTTAATCCAAGAAATGATTGGGAAATTTAAACCAAGCCCAGCTAAAACCCATAATTTGATATAAATCATAATATGAGGGCTGCCAATCAAGTCTCAGCAAATAAGACTTTTTGTCTTAGCATCTGCATATTGACTCTATCAAGGAAAGTTTTTAATATTAATTGCTCCTATTTTTGCATGGTTGTAAACATCATTTCTTCCCATGCATTTTCTACTATAAGAGGACCTTTTTTCCGGGGACATTTTTGTGTAAAAAGTCCTAGAAAATAAAGTCTCAAAATGGTAGGACTTTTTTCCACAGGACTTTTTTAGTGCCAAAATTTAGGACTTTATTTCCGAAAACTATTTTTCAGAGAACAGTTTTGCGCTTACACCGGATGGATACTTCAAATTATTTGTGCGTGCATACATACACACTTGTAGAGTGTGCGTGAGTATAAACAGTTATAATTGCAAGTCTAAGGATTAATGATTGCTAGGGCGCGTGCTTTAATAGTTTCTTGGTCTGATGACTTCCATAGGGGAGGGGGGGGGGGGAGGGGTCAGTAGTGGTACTTTTCATATCTAATCACAGCTAGGTCACAGTCTAGGTCTAGATCTAGGTCTAGGTCTAGATCTAGGTCTAGGTCTAGGTCTAGGTCTAGGTCTAGGTCTATGTCTAGGTCTAGGTCTAGGTCTAAGTCTAGGTCTATGTCTAGGTCTAGGTCTAGATCTATGTCTAGGTCTAGGTCTAGGTCTAGGTCTAGGTCTAGGTCTAGGTCTAGATCTATGTCTATGTCTATGTCTAGGACTAGGTATGGGTCTAGGTCTAGGTCTAGATCTAGATCTAGATCTAGATCTAGGTCTAGGTCTAGGTCTAGGTCTAGGTCTAGGTCTAGGTCNTTCCCTTAAACCATAAAGGTACCCTTAAACCATAAAGGTTCCCTTAAACCATAAAGATACCCTTAAACATAAATTTAAAAGTTTAAATTAAATTAGTTGTATATATTTAAAAGTTTAAATTAAATTAGCTGTATATATTTAAAAGTTTAAATTAAAATAGTTGTATAATATTTAAAAGTTAAATTTTTTGTTCTATTCTATAATTGTTGAATAAGCTGGCCGGAGCTATGATTAAAAACACGTATTATTTATTCTAATTCCTGAAATTTACTTGAATTTGCCGTCCCATTAAAGGGACTGTAAGCGTAATTTCAAGTGACACTCCATGCAAAGATGACAATGCTCGATTAACAACGGTACCCTCATTTGCGGTTTCTCTCCGAAAGTGACTTGCGCATTTCTTGTTTATAAGAAGCAATGAGAATACTCACAGAAATTAACACTTTTCGACAGAAAAAAAAAAAATTTTGATCAGATAAAGGTTTTAAGGGTATTGTTGCAAATCGGAAATTGTCATCTTTGCTTAAAGGGTCACTTATAATAACGCTTACTGTCCCTTTAAACATATAATTTCTTGTATAATATTCTTTAATACAATTTATTTCTATAAAATATATATGTATATATATATTAAGTATTTACAATACATGGTATAATAAATAGAGGTTGATGAGATTCATTTAACAAACAAACATTAAAAACTTTATTTTAAATTTTATTCAAAAATAAGTTTTAGTTTTGATGAAATGGAGATTATAGGATTCATTTTAAAAAAACTTAAATCATTTTGCCAAAGAATAGATTTAATTAAATTAAAATGATTCAAGAAACTTTGGATGACGGTTTTGAAGGTTTTTATCTTTTTTAGAAACAAACCATATTTTGGAATGATTTTGAAGGTTTCCATATTTAAAATTCAAGTATGTACAATTTTACAAGATTACAGTGATATCAATTATCAATAAAAGGAAAATCAGACTTTCTTATTTTACCCCCCAACTTAAACTTTCCTAAAATTGTTGGATATTTCAGTATGTTTAGGACCACGGTTTCCTGGTTGAGATTCAAGGGTTGACATTTTGGTTGATATTTTTTATCGTAAGACAGTGGGACCCATAAAACTGTGGAATAGGAAGACGGGACTTAAGCAATTTTAAGTGTATTTAATGTTTTTATAAAATATAGTTTTAACGGTAGCTGCAACTAATTATTGGGTCTGTAGTCTGTACATTACATTTGGTTACCTAAAATCAACATTTGAGTCTAACAGTCGTCTTCCTATTCCACAGTTTTATGGGTCTTTATAAATTGAGCAATATTTCAAAACAAATCAATTGACAAGAATGAAGCCAAATTGTTGAAGTGACAGTAATTGAATTCCGAATATTTAAAGTATTTGGACACGTAATGTAATATTATGAAACTTTCTTTTCTTTTCCTCAGGAATTTAAAAATCTCAACATGAAATAAAATGTGAAAATATGTTTAACAATGGCTTTTAGTTTAGTTTCACAATCCAAAGTTTCCCAGTTTGAGGCAAATTCCATTTTGCGTGGGAACTGCACGTGGTGTTTTCACTTGACACAGGCGGGGTATCGAATTGCGGCATTTCTTGTGTACACGCGCGCTCTGATTTGCGGATTACTTGCGTCGGGTTAGATCGATCAATGGTCGGCTGTCACAGGCGTACTTCTTGCACTCATGAACTTCATAGCCCTGAAATAAAAATAGATCAAATTTTGTACTTTCCAGCTAGTTCTCAAACTGCATAGCTGTCCTTTAAATATGTTGTTTTACATTAAATATATCTCATGCACGATATGGCTCAAAATTATTTAGAGTAGAGTAGAGTAGAGTAGAGTAGAGTAGAGAAGAGAAGAGAAGAGAAGAGTAGAGTAGAGTAGACTAGGGTAGAGTTGAGTAGAGTAGAGTAGAGTAGAGTAGAGTAGAAGGGGGGGGGATTGGTAGGAAGGACAGAAGAGTGTTACACTGTTCTTGAGACGGGTAAAAGAAAATTTAGGGGTTAAACTTTAGAAGGGGGGCGTACACTAGAAAAGAACACTTGCAGTTAAGTTATGACAAGGTGGATAAAAGAAAGACAAAAAGAAGAAAATAAATTACTCGTTAATTAATTGAATACAGAATAATAGAAAAAAGACGTATAAGGCGTAAATTTGAAAATGTTTCAAAAATGGAGAAGGAAAATTACAAAAAGGAAAGTATTGGTTAACCCAAGATATTTAAGAAATGTAGCAACCAATTATAAAACGTGATTTCTCTTCTGGCCGCTGACATCTTGGTATTCAATAATGTCACCAAACCACTTTTAACAAGCCCTTGACCTACGCAGGACGCAATCTTCCATATTACCCAGATACTACTTTTTAGAGCCGTTTTACTAACAGTTTTGTAACATGCATCAGCAGTACACATATAACAATTTAAAATGAATTAAAATGAACAGAGCAAAATTAATGAAAAATATTTGAGGAAATTTACTGTCTTTTATCCCAAATCCAAATTTTTAAAAGTTTAATCAAAAATGAAAAAATTTTGTCAAATAAAAGGGACTGAAAGCTTATTTTCTAATGACTCTCCATGCAAAGATGAGAATTGTCCGATTCATAAAGATACCCTTAAACCATAAAGGTTCCCTTAAACCATAAAGATACCCTTAAACATAAAGGTACCCATAAACCATAAAGGTTCCCTTAAACCATAAAGGTTCCCTTAAACCATAAAGGTTCCCTTAAACCATAAAGGTTCCCTTAAACCATAAAGGTTCCCTTAAACCATAAAGGTACCCTTAAACCATAAAGGTTCCCTTAAACCATAAAGGTTCCCTTAAATCATAAAGGTTCCCATAAACCATAAAGGTTCCCTTAAACGCTTGTCTGAGCAGTTGCATGAAATAGATATCCATGGTTGAATATTGAAAAACTGTTATTTTCAATTGATGCTCATATATCCTACAGAATATATCCTACAGAATATATCCTAGAAAAGTGACCTGTGTATTTTCACGGCAGGAAACGTATAGGAATTATCAGAAATAAACACCTTTAAGTCTAGGAAAACGACAATATCTCCCACAATATTGATAAGATAAAGATTTCAAGGGTAACGTTGTGAATCGGGCATTAAAGTTCAGTAGAAATTATGCTTATAGTCCCTTTATATATATATTTCTTGATTTACCTGGCTTACAGTCCCTTTATATATATATTTCTTGATTTACCTGGCTCACAGACTTCTTAAAGGTTTCAATTCTTGAAGACAGTTTTGTTGGTATAATCCAATCTAATGCCCTAGAATAATAACAATGATGACAACAATGATGACAACAATGATGACAACAATGATGACAACAATGATGACAACAATGATGACAACGACAATGACAACAATGATGATAACAATGATGACAACGACAATGACAAAAATGATGACAACAATGATGACAACAATGATGACAACGACAATGACAAAAATGATGACAACAATGATGATAACAATGATGACAACGACAATGACAACAATGATGACAACAACAATGACAAAAATGATGACAACAATGATGAGAACAATGATGACAACGAAAAGACAAAAAGGATGATAACGACAATGACAACAATGATGACAACGTCAATGACAATAATAATAACACCCTGAGTGGTGGTCTTGCATTTAGGCCTAGGTCATTTCATTTCAAGCCTTGCCAACTCTTGTCTTTCTTCAGGGGTTTAATTTGAATTCTTCATGTTGATTACATTAATGTGATTTCCGCATGAAAAATGTTTCTTAATAGTTATGTAAAGCTGACATTGATTGCACAGGAGATTGAAAAAATTTACAGGTCCAAAACATGCATGAAAATAATAATCTCTGTTTGTATGTTTGTTTGTATGTCCGATCATAACTCTGGAACCCCTTCACCGATGTGCCTCAAATTTAGATGAGGGAACTCGGAAGAAGCATTGGAATGTTCTTAGCTGGGTTTAAAGATGCTAAGTTGAGTGGGTTCATTTTTATGACCAATTTCTTATTCATGTTACCATAGGTACAACTATAGGTCCTATCTATCTATCTACACTGCTCTGGTAAAGCGTAACCATAGTGTGACTATGGTTCTACCTATTGTAGAACCTCTAAGAAATTGGCCATTATTGTGGGAAAATATGTAAAGTAACTATATGTACCCAGAGCATATTAAAGCTAGCATATTATAAAATGATACAACAACACACAAAGGAATGGTATGTATGCAAACAAAAACTGAAGAAACAGATATTTTACTGACCTCAAAAGATAATCTATTCCTGATAGATTTTTAGCCTTTGTTCCTAACTCACAGACAACCCTGGAAATGATTTAAAATCTATAAATTGGAAGGAAAAAATATTTTTTCTAGACTTTTTTTTCAGAATATAAAGAAATAATTGAATACAAAATCAGAAAATTCGGTGATGGTGATGGACCAAACCTCTGTAGAGTAAAAAAAGTAGATATTAGATCCACATTTTATTGAAAATATATTTCGGACTGGGTTGACCCTCGTCAATTCTAACGATATAATAACCATCAAAATCGATTAAAAAAAAAACCACAAGAAAAAAAACAAACAAAAAAGATTATTTAAAAAAAGATGAAAATGGGTATAATAAAAAAAATATAAATCAAATAACCCTGAATCAAAATAAATAAGTTATACAAATACAAAGTTGAGTTTATCAGAGGATTTAGTTAGAAACGGATTACTGATTAAAAAAGAGATTAACTTAACAATGCAAAAGTCGTGGCTACTGGTTTGCTTTAGCAGTTTATTTGATAGAGAATAAAGTCAATTATCATATGGTAGTTGAGTCTCATCCACCGTAGGTAAAAATGTAGTTTGTTTTACACTAAATTTTGGGGATTACCGTATGCTTTTTCCTACCTGTCCATGCACTCTTCACTCTCTAGAACTTCGTAGTATTTCAACAGTAGATTATCCACCTCACCCTACATGAAATATTTATAAAAATAATCATCATAAATCAAATATTCATTAGAATTATCCACCTCACCCTAAATCAAATATTTATTACAATTATCCACCTCACCCTAAATTAAATATTTATTACAATTATCCACCTCACCCTAAATCAAATATTTATTACAATTATCCACCTCACCCTAAACCAAATGTTCAATAAAATTATCCACCTCACCCTAAATCAAATATTTAATAAAATTATCCACCTCACCCTAAATCAAATGTTTAATAAAATTATCCACCTCACCCTAAATCAAATATTTATTACAATTATCCACCTCACCCTAAATCAAATATCCATTGAAATTATCCACCTCACCCTAAATGAAATATTTAATAAAATTATCCACCTCGCCCTAAATCAAATATTTATTACAATTATCCACCTCACCCTAAATCAAATATTTATAATAATTTATCCCTATCCTACCCTACCTCACCCTACCCTATAGAAAATTGATGTAAAACTAGAAAACTATGAATGAATCAAATAGTAAAAGTTTTAAATATCAAAAGTTTACATCATAAGGTTACACAGATGTATAATTTGAAAATTTTAAGGCAATTGATCATTTACTTTTTAGATAACATAAATATTATATATTTACAGTAGAACCAAGCAAACTCTGGAAAAGCAAGACAACGGTTGGACTCAAGTTACGATTTTTAAATGTCAATAAACATGGAAGACATCAATTGTGCCCTGTGCAGTGTGCAGTGTAATACTTAAAAATTTTAATTTTAAAAATCAAATATATATAAGATTGCTTGGTGTCGTCTTCCTATTCTACAGTGTTTAATGGGTCTCACTGTAGGTGTTCTCAAATGTGCAATTTACGAAGCGGCAACTTCCTAATGGTTAGGTTAGGCGTTCTGAGGCGCAGCAGGCTGCAAGTGGGGCCGAACGTTGTGGCTAGTATGGGCTAGGGACCGAGCGCTGCGGCAAGAACAGGCCAGCAATGGGGCCTAGGTCTGCGGTTAGGACAAATTTGGGAAATTGGACATTTATGAAGTTGCTACTTGGGAAATTACCGCTTGGGGAAATGCCTTTAGGAAAGTACCTAAAATCTCGCTGTAAGTCTATACCTGAAGATTTGTGAAGGATCCGAACGGTGATTCTGTACTCTGTCGACCAGTAAACGATCTTCCATTGACAAAAACAACATCTATAACATAGAAAACATTTATTTATAAGATGGACAACATCTATAACATGGAAAACCTTTATTTATAAGATGGACAACATTTATTCATAAGATGGACAACATTTATTTCAAGATGCACAACATTTTTTTCAAGATGCACAACATTGTTTTCAAGATGGACAACATTTATTTAAATATGGGCAATATTTATTTAAAGATGGACAACATTTATTTCAAGATGGACAACATTTATTTCAAGATGGACAACATTTATTTCAAGATGGACAACATTTATTTATAAGTGATAGGCAACATTTATTTCATGATGGACAACATTTGTTTCAAGATGGCAACATTTATTTCAAGATGAACAACATTTATTTCAAGATGGACCACATTCATTTCAAGATGGACAACATTTATTTCACGAAGGACAATATTTATTTCAAGATGGACAACATTTATTTCACGATGGACAACATTTATTTTAAGATGGACAACAATTATTTCAAGATGGACAACATTTATTTCAAGATAAACAACATTTATTTCAAGAAGGACAACATTTATTTCGAGATGGACAACATTTATTTCAAGATGGACAACATTTATTTAAATATGGACAACATTTATTTCAAGATGGACAACATATATTTCAAGATGAACAACATTTAACATTTATTTCAAGATGGACAACATTTATTTCAAGATGGAGAACATTTATTACAAGATGGACAACATTTATTTCAAGATGGACAACATTTATTTCACGATGGACAACATTTATTTTAAATTTTAAATTTTATTTTTTTGCTTGAAGATAGACGACATTTATTATCAGAAAAGCGGAGAACATTTATTTTGAGGTTGGCACACAAGTTCTGGTTTTCGAAATCAAATAAATTGCAATTGTGCAGTGTTCACAGACAGACTCATTTCATTTAATAAGCAAAACACAAAAAGATTACTTAACTGGCCTGGCGTTTTAATATTACACAGTTTTATAAATCTCACAGTAACATCAAAACTAATGATATGATAAACTTACTGATGATAGAGAGGATAGCGAGGAAGCCAATGATGATGGTGATAGGGATTAGAATAATGACAAGAGGATCCAGTTCATTATCATCTCGTTCAACTGGAAGAAAAATAAATAGTTTCAATCTTAAAAAGATCAGGTTCTGCTGGCCGGAAAATCTCTGCATAATTCAAATTTCAAAGATGGAAAAAATTTCGGGATAAATATTTTCTTTTTGAAACATATTTTTGAACTTTGTGATACTAGATTAGTTAATAACGATTAACGCCGCTTTGAATATTCTAAATTTTATAAAAAGCTGATGAGCAACAGTACACTTTCTTAGCTGCAGTACACTTACTTAGCTGCAGTACACTTACTTAGCCACAGTACGCTTACTTAGCAACAGTACACTTACTTAGCTTCAGTACACTTACATAGCAACAGTACACTTACTTAGCTGCAGTACACTTACTTAGCAACAGTACACTTAAAAGCAACAGTACACTTAAAAGCAACAGTACACTTACTTAGCAAATGAACACTTACTTAACTGCAGTACACTTACTTAGCAACAGTACACTTACTTAGCAACAGTACACTTACGTAGCTGCAGGGCATTTACTTAGGTGCAGTACACTTACTTAGCAACAGTACACTTACTTAGCAACAGTACACTTACTTAGCAACAGTTCACTCACTTAACAACAGTACACTTACTTTGTTGCAGTACACTTACTTAGTTGAGTCTCTGGTACAACGGGGTAGTAGTAGTAGTAAAGGTTTCCAGTAGAGGCAGGAGCAGCATAGGTCTGTTCTACAGCTGGTGCCTAATATAGAAATTCATAGATAAAAAATGTTGCTAAGATTCATAGCGGTACCTATTGAACCTTTAAAAGAGAAAAAATTAGTTGTTTTCAATTGTGGTTCTCATTTGAAAAAAAGTCCGAAATTTACTCTAGTCCTTTAAAAAAAAGTAATGAGAAATAAAGTCATACTTATTTCTAATTTTTGGATAAAAATTCATGAATTTTTTTTCCTTTAATAATTTGCAGTACACATTTTCATAACTTTTTTTCCATAGGACTTTTTTAGTGCCAATACCTTGAATATAAGAAGATTTAACCTGATAAGTTGGTGCGACATCACTTCTCTGTTCTGCCGTGTCAGCTGATTCGATTTCATTTTCAAGTTTCGCGGATTTTTTCTCTGGGGCGTAGTCAGCTGTTGCAGGGGATCCGTTATACGAGATAGAGGCCACCGTCCCTGGGGTCTTGTAGGTTGAGGACAGAGAGGAGCTGGGGGAGGATTTAGAGGACTTTCCATTAGTAGCACTGTAGGAGGAGGTAAGAGTTTTAGAGAAGGAGGACGGAGATTTACTGAAATATGTAACGAATAAAAAATCAACGTATATAATCCACATTGGTCCAAGGATTGCAAGCTGTCACGCAAAAAATCTATGATAATTTTGCCAATTACATCTTTTAATCTAATGCAAAAACAATTGTTCAATAGTTCTAAAATATCAAGGGATAGAAAAAGTAAAACGAATTAGGGAGGTAGATCACAGGGAACGATATTGGGACACTGTAAAGTAAACCAAGTCCAGAAAATTGATGTAAGTTTTCAAAAGTCTGATCTATGTGAACCTTAAAATTTTAAGACTTTTCTCTTTAAATTTTGTAAAAAAGACAAAATAATTTGACTAACTTTCATACATCGACACAAAATGTTGGTCGTTTTATCGAGAATTGGCTAACTTATAAGAAGAAGGAGTGGGGAAGTCCTCTCTGCCCCCCCCCTTCTTGTGCACGCTTATCTCAAAGTGTGAATGAATAAAATGCAAAGTGACTATGTGAAAGAAGAAATAAAACGTGAAGTGTATGCATCTAGAAGTTTATATAGCCAATTATCTTTCTGCTGATTTTATCTTTAAAAGGACTGTCAGAGTAATTTCAATTCTGACCCTCCATGCGAAAATGACAATACCCGATTCACAACGGTACCCTAAAAACGTAGTCTGGTCAAAAATGTGGAATATACCGTTGTTATATTGACACTTATACATCTTATACATACTTGATCAGAAAAAGCTCTACAGGGTACCGTTGTAAATCGGGCATTGCCATCTTTGTATGAAGGGTCACTTAAAATTACGCTTACAGTCCCTTTAAACTTGTCCTGTACACTTCTTGCATTTAGATTGTATATCTGCAGCGAGTCATAATAAAAATAGTCCAGGTTTTAAATGCAAAAGATTTTACGTTAAACTGGATTTACGGATTTTTTAATTGGAAAATATTTTCTAAATATTTGATTTGTGAGTGACAGTTCTACTAGAATGCTGTTATCAGTCCTTTATTTCATAAATCAACTTAAATAATTAAAACTAAAATAAAGAAAAAACAGAGAACTCTCTAAAAGAAGAAAAAAGTTAAAAATTGGTAAGACCAGGAAAACCACAAGAAAAAAAAAATATTTACAAATTTTACAAAATCAAAAAAAAATCCTAAACCAAACTTTAGAATACATTTGAAATTTTAGAAAAATGGCAAATCAAAAAAGGTGAAAGTTAAAAGTAAAATAAAAATCATGTCCAATGTGCAACATAAGCTAAGAAATATTTATCATTGGTGAAATTTGTTTAAGAAATGCCCAGGGTTAAATAAACCACTTTCCCTGTTTATTCTGCAAATAATTTCCGCACGTTTTTTAATCATAATAACAACCGTATCATTTGTAACCCTTGGGCCAATCTCTGCAGAATAAACTGTGCAGAATAAACTGTGCAGAATAAACTGTGCAGAATAAACTGTGCAGAATTAACAATGCAGAAAATACTGTGCAGAATATACTGTGCAAAATACACTGTGCAGAATAAACTGTGCAGAATAAACTGTGCAGAATAAACTGTGCAGAATTAACAATGCAGAAAATACTGTGCAGAATATACTGTGCAAAATACACTGTGCAGAATTAACAGTGCAGAATAAAGTGTGCAGAATACACTGTGCAGAATAAACTATGCAGAATAAAGTGTGCAAAATAAACTGTGCAGAATGAACTGTGCAGAATAAACTATGCAGAATAAACTGTGCAGAATAAACTGTGCAGAACACACTGTGCAGAATAAACTCTGCAGAATAAACTGTGCAGAATAAACTGTGCAGAATAAAGTGTGCAAAATAAACTGTGCAAAATAAACTGTGCAGAATGAACTGTGCAGAATTAACAGGGCAGAATAAATAGTGCAGAATAAACTGTGCAGAATAAAGTGTGCAGAATAAACAGTGCAGAATAAACTGTGCAAAATAAACTCATGCAGAATATACTGTGCAGAATAAACAGTGCAGAATAAAGTGTGCAGAATAAACTGTGAAGAATAAACTGTGCAGAATAAACTATGCAGAATAAACTGTGCAGAATAAACTGTGCAAAATAAACTGTATTTTGCATATTTAACGTAAAAATGCAATAGCAATAAAAGCTTGTGAATAGTTCAGGTTAAATATTTTACACTGTTGAAAGGGGGAGCAACAAAAAATTAAGGTATATTATTATATCTAATTCAGGTATATTATTATATCTATTGGGCTCAACTTGAATTACCTTATTGTCATATTAGCTCAATGCAAGCTTAACCTTTTAGGATTTAAGATTGTATCTTTCTATTCTATATTCTATTATCTATTTGAGAAATGAGCACCTTAGGATGCGAATGATCCTTTGAATGCATGAGCGATCATTAAAATACATTTAGTATACTTAAGATACCAGTGATCCGCATACATATATAAGCTTTAGAATATGTATGTATGATCCTTAGGATACAATTAAGATCCTTGGGATATGTTTGATCCTTAGGATACATGTAAGATCCTTAGGACATTTATGATCCTTAGGATACATGTATGATCCTTAGGACATTTATGATCCTTAGAAAACATGTTCCATAAGCTGTAAACTCCGGTTTCATTTCAAGTACCATACAGACTATAAAACTGGGGGTGGAGATGCGCCATTAGCTTCGCAAAAATGACCTCCAAGTCTCCAGATTTGCAGAATTTGTGAAATTTATAAAAACAAAAATAAAACCTTTAAAATCAATTAAAATAGGCTTTTTATTACAAATTGTTTATTTTATCATGTTGAGATTTTTCGAAAAAAAAGTTTTTAGTGAATTTGGAGGCTTGGATATGTCATTTTTTTGCATGGCTCATGGCGCCTCTGCACCCCCTCCCTTCTAAAGCAAGCAGTACCGTACATATACAGACTATATATGGCAACCCGATTCTCAGAATATGTATGATCCTTCATATAAAGGATCCTTGAATATCCCTGAATACAGACGTCTGTTTATTGGTCGTGTACTCCAGTTGTACACAATGAACCCGTTGTGGAAAATATCGCATTTTCTACCCTTTAATAGATCTCTGTATTTCTTATCTGTGATTTTTGCTTACCTAGAACTGGAGGTTAAGAAGGACGAAGAAGGATTTGCGTACACAGGAGACCCCCGGCTCTCAGCACTGTACACTTGTACTGTAGAACTGGAGGAACTGTACACAGGCGACACAGCGTCGGTATCAGCTGATGCAGAAGCAGCCACGTCAGATGATCTAAATAAGAAGTCAGAAATTTTGTGTTGTGAATCTCAGGATCAAGAATTAATCTCCATCTTATGAAGATCTACAGAGTAATTAAATTCCTCTTTGAAATCTTGTAGTAGTCGTACCCTGCAGGGATAACTTGAATTGAGAGACAAAGCATCAATTCTCGACTTTAAAGGGAGTTTTGAACCTCGAATTTGTGCTCAAACTCAGGATTTATAGATCTTTAAAAAGTTTAATATGTCTCAAATGAATCCGAAAGAAGTTTTCCACAATACTGCATACTCAGTTCAACTACCTTACATAGCTGGTCACTCCCTTTAAAAGGGTGAACGCATTTGATGTTGAGATCAAGTGTTCAAGATTAATATTATCCACAAAAAACGTGTTGATCTCAGTGAATTAACCAGGGGGCGGAAACGTCATGTATGTGTGTCTGTACCAAAAGAGAGTGTGTAAGTAATATCGAAATGAAGTTGTGTACTGTAGGTATATACAGTACATAAAAATCTCGGTATTTTTACAGTCTAGGAGAGTACATTTTTTATTGTTAATTGTTTACATAAAAATAAGTTTAATATATATTTAATATAATATTCATACATTTAAATCAACACTATAAAGCCAAATTTTCATGCAAAGAATATAATTTGATTAAAGTTTACAATAAACTACTCGTTATTGAAGCTTAATAATTAACGACAATAATCTGCAATTTCCTTGACTGAAGTCACGTTGTGTGTCTGTACAAAAGAGTGTGCGTGTGTAATACCGAACTCGTCTGTAAAGCAGTGCGACTGGCTTTGTCATACCAGACCAGCGCCATTTCCTTTCCCTTTATTTTTATTCCCTGGAATTAACAAATTTAAGAACTTACTAAACTAAAGTGTATTGTATAATCTTTCACATCGGTAATTATAAAACTTTTCAGCATCAAAAATACATTAGATACCCATGTGTTTCTCTTTTAAAATTGATTTTCAAATGTGGTTTCTTAGTAAAAGAGACTTGTAAACGTATGCTACCAGTGCCACACTATTGACCAAATAAAGGTTTGAAGAGTACCAATGTTAATCGATCATGGAGGGTTATTTCCTTTAGGTTTAGCATTTAACTTAAAATCCAAATTTAGAAAACCTTGTATCAGAAAATGTAAACAGCATGATATTTGTGAATTTAGAAAACCTTAGGGGAGGGATAATATTCTTCAGTAAATATAAACGTAGAGGTTTGGACGAAAACACATGATACAAATTCAACGAATATATTAACTTGATTGTCATTTTTGGGTTGAAGTTTCCTTGCTAATTTAAAAAGATTGATTTTACCACTAAATTGCAGTAAAAACAGTTATGTGAGAAAATTGATAAATTTTTATTACTTTCACCAATTCGCATATTTCAAATTATTGAAAAGATAAGCTATCATAGAACTAAACGTAATAGTTTATTTTTTATATAATCACAATAGCTAAACGCAAAAGATAAAAACAATAAAAATATGAATAATTTATAAACTATACTTTTAAAAATCGAATTTCTTTACTGCTCAACAACTAATTTTTAGAAACATTAGGGGTACAAAAATGTATTTGACAAATTTAAAAAAAGCCATGGTATATTTTTAAGATTTTGGAAATTTCTCAAATGACGGTCCAAGATACCCAGGCATTTGTGGAATTCACCAATTCCCAGACATTTGAGAAATTTCCAAAATCTTAAAAATATACCACCCTCAAATATCTGTAGGCATTTGACATTTTTGATAATTACTGTCACTCCCTCCAGAGCTTTTATCAGATTTTGTTTCCTTATTGAAAACAATCTACAGAGCATCAAGAATTATGAATCAACATTTGAGACAGGGCCAACTTTAAAGTGTTTTAAGGCCATGGCTTTTTTTGGAATTTGGGAAATTTGGGGAATTTCCCGAATGCCTGGGTATCTAGGAAATTTCCCAAATGCCTGGGTATCTGGGAAATTTCCCAAATGCCTAGGTTTTGGGGAAATTTCCCAAATATTCAGTCATTTGAGAACCTTCCAAAATCTTAAAAATATACCACCCTCAAATACCTATAGGAATTTCGGAAATTTCCCAAATGCCTGGGTATCTGGAAATTTCCCAAATGCCTGGGAATATGCGAAATTTCCCAAATGCCAGGGTATCTGGGAAATTTCCCAAATGCCTGGGTATCTGGAAATTTCCCAAATGCATGGGTATCTGGGAAATTTCCAAAATGCCTGGGTTTATGCGAAATTTCCCAAATGCCTATTTTAAAAAAAAATGTAAATGCTGTCGTGTCATGAAGCTCTGAAAGTTAAGAATTGAGATTTTAAAGTTGCGCCTATTCCTATCAGTGTAAAAGGATCATATTTAAACAATAAATATGTAAAAGGGATTGTAAGTGTAATTTCAAGTGACCCTTCGTGCAATAACGGCAATGCCCGTAATTACAAGGGTACCCTTGAACCCTTAATCTGATCATAACTGTGAAATGTGGAGGACAACTAAAAGAACAGTTTAAGGAAACTGAAACATCAATATCTAATTCATGCTTGATCAGACAAAGCTTTTAATGGTACCGTTGTAAATCAGGCACTGCCATCTTTGCATTGTAGGTTCACTATAGGAATAACACCTACATTTTTTTAATAAAAAGAGGAAGTAATTTTAAATGCAAGGCAGATAGAAGGCATTTAAGAATAAGAAAAAAGACGACATAAAAATACCTTTCTAGGTCGTCAGCTGACACAGAGTACACAGTTTGTTTACTCACAGGTGCGTTATAACTGTTACTCTTCGTTATAGGTACAGTGTACGAGGAACCAACTGAAAAAAAGTAAAGTTATAAATTTATCCTTAACAATCGTTACAGTACATTTAATACAGGGTGCTCCACAAAGCATGGCACTGTAGAAACTACTAAGGTCGTCTTTGAACTTGAAAATTGAATCAAAAAGTGTTGTGTACTACTTTGAGCTTTTAAAGTCGTACAACAGAGTATGGAAAGCTGAAGGTTGCCTAATTTTTACTGTTTGTTAGAAATTAAAGAGTTCAACGATCTTCAAGCCGTTTGTCATACTTTTAGGGGAACCGTGTACTTATACAAATAAGCAACAATATATGTTTATAGGTTGTGTACGTCTTTGTAAAGATACGAACTATATTCGAGATTGTTTTCAGAGTATTTAAAACAAAGTAGATTTTGAAAAGAAGATAAAATAAAATTAAAAAAATAATAAAATAAGATGACTACAATAAATCAACGATAAAGTGACCAATGAAAATAAATATATAAATCAACCCGACCAATAAAATTGATAATATTAATAAAATTAATTATATAAATAAAAAAAAGTAACAAATCTACAAAAATGAAAAGTGTCTATTTGTTTGTCTGTATTTAATAAAAGTCAAAACGGCTGAACCGATCCGGCCCAATTTTTATGTGGAAACTCACATAACTTAAAAGACGATTTAGAGACGGTAACATTGAAAAAAATTTGCCCGGGAAAAATCTAACTAAAAATTTTACTGGCCTAAATCAACAAATAGCGATAATTATCTGTTATAATATTGGCTTATAAAAACTACTTCTAAATTGTTCGCCAATAATGTTTTAAATATATTTTAATGATTATTATAAACCTGGATTGCTATAGGATGATATAGGAACCTCATCAGCCCCCGTTAGTACAGCTTCAATGCTCAAAAATAAAACTAAGAACTTCATTTTTCTGAAGAAAAAAAAACAATTTAAGAATCTTAACTATTTTTATTGTAAATATATCTATGGTATTTTACCCTCGAAAATAAAAGACTTGAATGGCATGCACTAGAAGTTAACAGTTGTTACAGAAAATTAGTCCAAAATTAGTCCAAAAGCTAATCTAATTTTCGTAAATTTTGATTTTCGATCGCATTTGGTTTTATATATATTTTTTGTTTGTATCTATAACTTTATTAATTTAACATAATTTTCTTCATTTTGTTTCCTAGCCTTTTAATTTTTGCCTTTTCAAAGTTAAAAACTATTATGCATTTTGTTGAATGTAAAAAAAAGTTTAAGCTTAAATATTAAACATCGAAGAAGGAAAACCTTGAATTATTTAAAAATAATGGACAATCATAAATATTTTGAGCTTTGTAATAAACATGGCTGTTGGCTTTATATTAATGTCCAATGTCTTTATGTTGTACGTACTTTTTTTGCTAAAAATAATGGCTCATTAAAATCGGATATATTATAAATCTTTTTTTTAAATGATAAAAATCTATCTTTTCCCGAAATCTGAAAACGACCTGCGCTGCGCCTGATTCAAAATTCCAATCAATCTAAAATTTCACAAAATGCTCATACTGGACCATATTACCCGATGCACCAACAAAAATGTTTTTTACCCCCTTCGTATGTCATATGAAAACGAAAATATTAAAATTTACATTCATTTATTAAGCGACATAAACATGAAACAACTCACAGTGGAAAAAGAACTTTTCTACAACTTAAAAAAAGAAAAATGACATTTTCCTATCCTGGAAAGGGCGATTACATTTTCCTATCCTGTAAAGGGCGATTACATTTTCCTATCCTGGAAAGGGCGATTATATTTTCCTATCCTGGGAAGGGCGATTACATTTTCCTATCCTGGAAAGGGCGATTACATTTTCCTATCCTGTAAAGGGCGATTACATTTTCCTATCCTGGAAAGGGCGATTACATTTTCCTATCCTGGGAAGGGCGATTACATTTTCCTATCCTGGAAAGGGCGATTACATTTTCCTATCCTGGGAAGGGCGATTACATTTTCCTATCCTGGAAAGGGCGATTACATTTTATAAATGTAGAGAATCCTATAGTATTTTAAATACAATGGATTCTTTTACAGTATTAAGGAGATAGATATATTGTGATCATGTGAAATAATTAGTAGACGATTTTTTAATAGCAAGTAAAAAATCGACATTTAAATTTAAAATCCTCCTGAAAACATCTGAAGAGAAATAAAATAAAACGAAGGACTAAACTAAAATATTTTCACTAAGCATATATGATAAAATTCATTTCAAAAGAATTCCTTATCGAATATTTTCTCCATACTTGACCACCTACCGGTGTTCCTAAGGCNCATTTAAGGCCTATCCCCAACCATAAACCCCTCTGAGGCCTACCTCCCCCCTGACCCCCTGCAGTTTAGTGGTACAAGCCAAGAAGATTACGCAACTGTAAAACCAGGTGGGCAAAATATACAGACGCAAAACAAACAATATATATATAAACATTGCTATCAGTTTGAATGCAATATGTGAACATACGCAAAATATAAGCGTAAAAAATGTTCAAACGTTGTCTGCGAAAAGCGGTTTCTGTTTGGTTCCATTTTTGATTTTTGAAAAAAAAGTGTTTCAAAAATCTTACACGTATTTGTAATTTTCATACGTTACAAA